TGCAGAGAGGGCAACAGGGCCCTTGCTGGTGTCAACTATTGTGCCTAGGTAAGAGGTGACCATACACTTGATGTATTCTAATTATTTTGTATCCTGATTTGAGTACAGTCAGATAAGAAATAATAATAATATAATTTTGAAAACAAACCATCCTCCTTCCCATTCAAGAAAAACACGTGTCCTCCCCATTCAAGAAGAGTTTGTCATACTGGTTTTTAAATTCTTTTAAGAAGACACTTACTACATTTAGCATACATTGTAAAAGCCAAGATAAACAAGAAAGGGTAACAATTACGACTCAGAATGCTTCTTTCATCCTTGATATTTCTAATACCATTTTAAAACAGGGGTGAGAAATCGAGGAGCATCCCTAGCCCCATGAAAGTCACAGATTCACTGCCAAATATAACCAAAAGAGATTCTATATCATTTTTAGTTCCAGGAATTCAAATACAATTATGGCCAATTTTTACTGTGAAGAGGTAGAGACACCGGGGGGGGGGGGGGGGGGAGCGGGAATCACACTGCTTTTATTTTTTCTTCTTTCTTCTATTTTAATTTTTAAATAAAATATTTGGAGAGGTCCAGGGTATATTTTTTCCAAACATTTAATATTGAGGACACACTTTTAGATATGCATAATGTCATGGCACAGTAATTCAGTTTCACTAGCAAACTAGAGGTTAAGTCAACCACTTATAAGATATACACAGACGCACATATATTGTATTAATCCAATGTATGGGGACACAGCATACCTCATGAAAAAAAATTCTATTTTGAAAATGATATTGCTTATCTCATATAGTCAGAAGTATCTTACTAAGTTCGAATGACACATACATACACTAATGTGTCATGACTCACAGTTTGGAAACTCAGGTCTAGGGAATTTGGTTCTCTTTGTAGGGATCCCAAGACTCAAAACATGCAGTCCTGGGGTCTGTACTTTTTAAAGTACAGACCCATTTTAAAGTACAGCCCATTTAAAAAAAACATTTCACTGGACGACATCAACATAACATCACCGAAACTTGCACAAATTGGAAATTAATTAAACTATTCACACAGAGAAGGGGATCTCTTTCTAAGGCATACTGTATCAATTTAATACAGGTTTGATGGTGAAGCATCTGTCTTTTTGTAAAGTATATGGAACAACACAAAAAAAACTTTAACCTATCTGGCTATGACACATTAATTAATGTAGTCTGATGCAGAAGATAAGCAGATAGTGTTGATTATGCAAAAAATAATAATAATTGAAACATCACAAGAATACCTTGATTTTTGGGAGCTAAGATGAAAGGAAACCAGAGGGCACCATCATCATTGCTAATTCTATGTGACTTTTCAGTCACATAGAACCTGCCCGGGCTCTGTGATCTTCAGGAGAGGCCCTTCTCTCAATTCCATCTCCATTTCAAGCCCAGTGGGAATGAGAGAGAGGGTCTTCTCAGTGGCTGCCCCTCGACTATGGAATTCCCTGTCTAGGGAATCCAGAATGGCCCCCTCCCTACTATCTATCCAGTAGCAGGCTAAAACCTTTTGATTCAGACAGGTTTTTAAAAATCAAGTTGGGGGTGTGGTTTTAGCCTTGAGTATGTTTTTAATCAGTCTTGAAGAATTTAACTAGGGTTCTCATGGTGGTGCAGCGGGTAAACCCACTGAGCTGCTGAACTTGCTGACCAAAAGGTTGATTGTTCAAATCCGGGGAGCAAGGTGAGCTCCTGCTGTTAGGCCCAGTTTCTGCCAACCTAGCAATTCAAAAACATGCAAATGTGCACAGATCAATAGGTACTGCTTCTGCGGGAAGGTAATGGCACTCCATACAGTCATGCCGGCCACATGACCTTTGCGGTGCCTACAGTCGGCTCTCCGGCTTAGAAATGGAGACGACCACCACCCCTCAGAGTTGGACATGACTAGACTTAATGTCAGGGGAAACCTTTACCTTTACTTAAGAATTTAACTATTTACTTTTCAATATCATTAATGTTTAATTCTATTTTAATGTTTGTATATTTTTAGGTTTAAAATTATATTTCATTTGGTTTTACTGTAAGTGGCTTTGAGTATTTTTTTTTTGTAGATGGAGAGAGTGGGGAATAAACAAAAAACAACAATAATAGGCTAACTAAAACAGTTCAGCATACAACTGAATCTTTTCCAACATTAGCAGAGTGATTAGTTCAACTTGATAATTTGCTAACTTGTTAAAGCATTTGTAACTTCTTGTGTAATTGTAACATCTTGCCATCATGAAATATGTCTGCTTTGACACTGAATTCATCATTTTGAAACATCCTGTTTGTCCAGAATAAGTTTCTCCTGTCATTAAGTACAGTTTCAGAAGATGGTATGCAGTAAATAGCATGGTGTTGTAAGTTAACTACAATTTTTATTGAAAGGACAAGAAGTGTTCTGCAAACATTTTCTTAATAAGGAGCATATCTTTGTATCCTTTCTATGTGTGACAGAAGCAGATTACAACATATTTTAAACAATTTAAAAAAATGTTTGTTGCTAGCCATTTGTTAAGACTTAAAGAGGTAGGACCAATGCAACTGTCTATTTTGACAGTTTCCTTCTAGGCATGCAAACATAGCTAATTTTTAAAGCTCCCTTGGCTACAAACTGGAGCAAACTCTATGAAGCAGACACTAATAAAAATACTAATACTAATACTACTAATAATATTAATAGTTTTCATTTTGACATTCTGACATTGTCATCTTACAAATGTTTAAGGCTAAAGGGGCTGTTGGTGCACTGGGTGATGCATCTAGCAGTAATCACCTGAAACTCTATGCCTTACTGTTTCAAGTAGTAAGGGTTTCATTAATGGTTGCAGAGCTTTCCAAATATTTTGTGTTGGTGGCACACTTTTTAGACATGCACCATTTTGCAACACAATTCTTCACTTTTACTAGCAACCAGAGATTAAACCAATCCCTTATAAGAGATATAGACACATACATAAATTGCAATAACAAAATGTATGGGGATGCAACAAACCAGAAGGTATTCAAGTTAATCAAGGTAACTTAAATGAATGTAATTATCTAGCAAGAATGAAAATAAATGATTGAAATGGATGACTTAAAATTAAAACAGTAGGATTAATTAATAAATGATTTAAAAAATAAACTGTGTACAGAAGGTTAATATTTCAAAAGAATTTCCTCCCACTAAGTTACTCCAGAACACATGATAAACAGAAGGAACCAAAGAAAACAATGCCAAGGAAGCATTAAAAAGACCAGAAAATGTATTAAAATCTAAAGTACAAGCAGGATTATTAAACATTAAATGAATTAAAATTACAAGGGGTATTTTTTAAGTAAGGTCTGTTTTGTTATAGACACTAGTAGTTAGCACGCATACTGCAACGAGCATGTGCATTGTGTACTGGCATGCCTCAGGAACAACTGTGCTCAGTTTCCACTCTGTAGCTAACCTGTACGGTTCTGTTCTGTGCTTTAAAAATGTTTAAGACTATCAACTCACCCGCCGCATGTGAGGTTCACTCAGTGATAGTTTTTGTCAGCAAGGAACCTGCCTGCTGCAGAAATTCATCGACAGATTTGTGAAGTGTACGGCGATACTGTTATGAGTGAAAGCAAAGTGCGTAAGTGGGTACGACAATTCAAAGATGGCCATGACAACATCCATGATGAGGACCGCTCTGGTCGCCCTTCTTTGATTACAGACGATTTGGTGGCTTCAGTTGAAGCGAGGATTTATGAAGAGGGTATTTTAAAATTGGTTCAGAGGTATTATAAGTGTTTGAACAAACTTGGCAACTATGTCGAAAAATAGAGTGAAGTATATACTTTCTGAAAATAAATTTACTTTTTTGAAATAAACTTTCGTTGTGTACTTATGTACCAACGGGCCTTACTTAAAAAATACCCCTCGTACAATGAAAATGGAAGCAAAAGTTTGTAATAAAGACTGTGCAGCTACTACAAAATATATAGGAACAGCACAAGCAACAGTTGCGCTGATAGGAGCAGCACAAGCAACAGTTGTGCTGGTATGGAAAGAGTACAAAAATGGGAAACAAAAAATTGTATGAATATTTAACAGACTATATGATTCAGGATTATATTATTGAAAGGAAAAATAAATATATAAATGGACTGGATCTCAAAATGGAAAAAAACTGATAGCCAGTGAAAGGAAAAGGAAAATACAAGGAACTAAATCGGACTATCTCCATGCTCCAACAAACAGAATAAAAGCCAAAATTGAATCACAACTGTTACTGGAGAGAGGGGGAAGAGTGGGAGACAGAGGGAGGTGCGGAAAATATGGAGATAGGTATAAGTAGGAAACTAAGATGGAATTAGAAAGGAGTAGATAATGAGCTATACTAGAAGGGTATATAATCTCTTTTCCTTGTATTGGATGACTTTGTTTCTTTAATACTTCTGTAATATAACGGCAACAAGCCATACTCTACTTATACAATCTACTAAAAATAAATTTAAAAAATTAAACGTAGGAAGAAAAATGTTATGCCAAAAGCTGGAATCAAACTATGGATCCTCAGACCTTCAACAAAATACCCACCCATCACATTATTGCAAGCACATGGCTTCCTGAGAGAGTAACAGGAACAAAGCTGCAAAAAGACCAGAAACAAAGAAGAAAGAATATGTTTTTTTAAAAAAAACAAGCCTGGCCCAGAATAATTAAGGATAGTCTCCCCTTCACAGAGGTATTCAATTGACCCTCCCACCTTATGTAGCACTGCCGCTTTTGTGACCTGGGTGTGGTTATATGACACACCTACACACTAATGTGTCACGACACACAATTCGGATAGCTTTGGTAGCAGAGATATAGCAATTTCAAATCAACTCCATCTTTTTGAAATACCCGATAATAGCAACATGACAATTATTGATCTTACAACTGAGTTCCTCTATAATTAAGAAAATAAATAGTTCAGATCACCTACACACAGGAAGTGTATCTCAGAGAGTACTCACCATTCCATATTCTTGCATGGACATACCATAGAGTTGCCACCATTTGTCTTGCACCATCCCAGAAATCATTCAAATATGCCTCCTTTAGGTCAGTTCGTCTCTTATAAATATGGAGGATGACAATGGAAACATAAAGAAGGACAAGAATGATCGCCGGAAGCAGGAAAGCTATGAGCAGCGGTGTAAAGAGCCACGTGAGGTAGACCACGTAACTCAGATATTCCTCCAAGTGTTCCACGCCAGTCCAGCCTTCCAGTATGTAAAGTGTGCATGTTAAGTAAGACATGGGTATCTGTTCCGCATTGCAGGTTTCATTTTGTCCTATCATGTTCTGTTTAAAATAATAATAAAATATATACTGAAGAAACTTCTACAAAGGACATAACTGTAGTCAAATACAACAGTTCAGAGCAGTCACTTTATTTATTTATTTACTGTATTTGCATACCGCCTTTCTCAGCCAATTGGCAACTCAAGGCAGTTTCCAACAAATCAGTATACATAAAACATAATAGATAAAAAACATTGAGCAGTATAAGACATGATAAAAACAATAAAAGCGACATCATCAGCGTCTCATTATTCTCAAGCATTGTCCAATTCCACTGTCAGGTCATTCGATTTCCTGTATTAGCTACTCTGTATTTGTAAACGCTTGCTCGAATAGCCACATTTTAACTTGCCTCCGAAACATCAAGAGGGAGGGAGCAGATCTGATTTCCCTAGGGAGGGCATTCCATAGCCGAGGGGCCACTACTGAGAAGGCCCTGTCTCTCGTCCCCGCCAAACGTGCTTGTGACACGAAAGCAGGGCCGAAAGGCGGGACCGAAAGCAGGGCCTCCCCAGATGATATTAAAGACCTCAGTGGTTCATAAGGGGAGATACGTTCAGACAGGTAAGTTGGGCCAGAACCGTTTCAACAGAAAACGTTTCAACTTTCAACAGAAAAACCTTAAAAGACTAGTACAATCTTATGCATGACTGTATACATGTATGTGCCTTCAAGTCGTATGTCAACTTATGACAGCCCCATTTATTTCATAAGGTTTTCTTAGGTAACGCTTAGAAGTGGATTTTTCCTCTGAAACAGGCTACAGCACCTGGTATTCACTGGCAGTCTCACATCTCAGTATTACTCAGACCTGCCTCTGCTTAGCTTCCAAGATCAGACTGGATCTGGTGTCTTTAGTCCCAATAGATAATACAAAGAGAACTCTGCAAATGCACTGAGGCTGCGTTTAGGAAAATTGAATAGGAATGGAGCCGTAAAGGGCCAAATAGTTGCAGCAAGGACTTGGAATCTCTGCAAGTGATTCACAGCATTAAGTTTTAAATATGGGCAGGTAGGGATCTTCCCATACTTGTTTAACCTGTGCTTCCTGAAGCATGAAGAACAGATTCTGGTAAAAGATTATTATCCTATGCACCACTGAGCAGCAGTAGAAAACAGGTTCTCAGGATCTATTTATGTAAAGATTTTCCCTGGTTCCTTGCATCAGCGCTGTTATCCCAGCGTCAGCCTCTGTTTATTGTGCATCAGCAAAGCTCCTCTAACAGAAAGCCTGTTCAGATAAAGATCCATATAGGTATTTTCTAGATGATCATATTCATACTTCTTATACACAGGAGTTTGATAGGATCATGATTAGATCTGTAGATCTGGTCAATATAAACTTAATATGCTCTCTTTATTTTACAAGTGAGTTTCAAAAGTGCTCTACATTTCTTCTCTAAGCTAAAGAGCACCTGACAAACAGAAGTGAAAACTTTAAGTAAATATGATACAAAAAGACCACTAATCATCTCAGCAAGACAGAGCTACTAATGGCTACTGATATCAAGTCACAAAATTTGGTAGCTGGCTTTTGGCTAGCCGAGTTACGTATCTATAACATGGTATTACTTCTACTCTACTTTCCAGGTTGTTGCAAGGAAATGTGTAATAAAATAGCATGTATGAACTTCACAAAAACTCATAAACGATATGCATGCTTGCACCCACCCCACCCCCACACAGATAAATATAGATGTGTCCTTAACAACAAATAACCCAGTTTGTAGTGTTTTTTTAAGTGATAGTTTTAAAAGGATGTACACATTCTTAATAGGGTTAAAAATTCCAGTATATGTAGAGCAATTCTTATCTGAAATATGCCAAAATAGTCCACATGGGTTGCTGACACATTTACTTTCTGGTGCTTCAAAGTACACAAACTTTGTTTCATGCACAAGATTACTATTAAGATATTATATAAATTTATCTTCTGGATATGTGTGTTAATTGTTTGTGTAGCAGAAATGAATTTCATGCTTAGACTTGAATCCTATATCCAAGATATTTCATTATGTATTCATATGGACACATATAGTTTATGACTGCTCTGTGAAGTTCATGCATGCTATTGTATTACCCTTCCTTGCAACAACCCTGCAAAAAGGAGTAGTAATATTACTATGTTGTAGAAAGCATGGCTCTGCTCCTCAAAGGCCATATGCAAATTCCAAAATACCAAACATCAGAAATCCAAAACTGTTCTGGTCTCAAGCATTTCAGATAAGAGACACTCAAACTGTTGTAGAGAAGTGTCATGAAATCACAACAGAAACTTTAGAAATAGTTTGCAACTCTGTGTTTTGACAATGCAGGCAGTAAATTGCTGCACAGGGACAACAACGACATAACATTTTAATTTAAAATGCAATTAGTACCTCTGACTACATCATTACTATAACATTGACTCAATAGACAACTTTATTAATTTGTTGTATTTGTATGCTGCCTTTCTCCTACACTGGGACTTGAGATGGCATCAAATAATAGTTAGCATTCAAATGATCACGATACCTACAATTAGCAGTTAAATAGTGTATAAATTTTGGGGACACACTATCTCTCTCTGTATATGTGTGTGTGTGTTAGTATATACTGTATTTCTTCCATTATCAGATGCACTTTCCCCCATATAACCATCTTTTTTTCTGTTGGTGGTACTGAAATTAGCATGCATCTTACAACTGATAGTGATACGATATGTATATGCATATGAATATATTTCGGTTGTTCAATGTCATTCTTGTTTTCATTTGATATGTTATCTACCTTGCTTATATTATTGACTGTTTTATTGTATGATGTAAGCCATTCCGAGTCCCTTTCTGGGAGATGGGGTGGAGTATAAATTATATATATGTGTGTGTGTATCCTCTGTGTTTGTCCTGCTTGATGGCGGCATTACTAGTTTGTTAGCACCATTTCACTGGGTCGTGCACTTGGTCAGGGTGTATGTCAGCAGTATTCATATATATACAGTATATTCTGGCGTATAAGACTACTTTTTAGCCCAAGAAAATCTTTTCAAAAGTCAGGGGTCGTCTTATACGCAGGTGTAGTCTTATGCATGGGAGTTGTCTTAACTCTATATTTTAACTGGGAAAGTTGGGGGTCGTCTTATACGCCCAGTCGTCTTATATGCCGGAATATACGGTATATATATATATGTGTGTGTGTGTGTGTGTGTGTGTGTGTGTATATATATATTGGTATATTACAATATAGTAATATATAATACTAATATTGTGCTATGCTAATAATATAATATACTGTATAGAGATATAATATTGATAATATTACAATGTAATACAATATAATATTTTTTTCTTTATATCAGCCAGCATGCCAACACCTTAAATCAACAAACAGCTTCCTAAGATCTACAGAGATACTCGCAGGAACAGCTCAGCAAGTGAGAGTCCAAAAGTGACAGGTTAAAACCCAGCACCTCAATCAGAGGCTGAGGCCGGATGAGAAGCTCCCTCCTGGGAACACAAAAGACTGGGCAACTTGGAAGGCACTGTACAGGCTGCGCTCTGGCACCATGAGATGCAGAGCTAACCTTAAGAAATGGGGCTATAAAGTGGAGTCCACAACATATGAGTGTGGTGAAGAGCAAACCACAGACCACCGACAACAATGCAACCTGAGCCCTGCCCCATGCACAATGGAGGACCTTCTCACAACTACACCAGAGGCACTCCAAGCGACCAGCTTCTGGTCAAAGGACATTTAGCATAATGCCAAGTTCATTTTTTGAAAACTTTGTATTTTTAAATGCATTTTAACTGTACCCTCAACTTGCTTCTGACACAATAAATAAACAAACAAAATACTAATAATACAATATCATAATATATAATAACATTGCAATATAGTAATACTAATATGTTAAATATAACTACTTATAAAATATAAAATATATAATGATATACTCTTTTATTATTGTATATTTGTATATTTTAAGTTGTAATGTTTCGGATTGGGCCACTTTGAGTCATGTATGGAGATAAAGTGGGATATATATATATACACACACACACACATACACACACACACTAGCCGTCCCCTGCCACGTGTTACGGTGGCCCAGTCTGTGTATGTGTTTTGTGTGTGCATATGTGTGTCTATATATTTGTGTATATGTGTGTTTGCGTGTGTGTATATGTGTGTGTGGTTTTGCACAAGCGTTGTAAAGTCTTTTTTTTTTGGCTTTTAAGTCTCTTCTGCTGTGTTTTTCAGTGTTTGTATGAGTGATGGTCACTTGTTGGCCTGATAGGTGTCTTGTGTCCAAATTTGGCAGCAATTCATCCAGTAGTTTTTGAGTTATGTTAATCCCACAAACAAACATTACATTTTTATTTATATACTAGCCGTTCCCTGCCACGTGTTGCTGTGGCCCACTCTGGTGGTCATGGGGGTTCTGTGTGGGAGGTTTGGCCCAATTCTATCGTTGGTGGGGTTCAGAATGCTCTGTGATTGTAGGTGAACTACAAATCCCAGCAAATACAACTCCCAAATGTCAAGATTCTATTTTCCCCAAACTCCACCAGTGTTCACATTTGGACATATTGAGTATTCTTGTAGGGTTTGGTCCAGATCCATCATTGTTTGAGTCCACAGTGCTCTCTAGATGTAGGTGAAGCACAACTCCAAAACCAAAGGACACTGCTCACCAAACCCTTCCAGTATTTTCTGTTGGTCATGGGAGAACTGGAGCCCCTGGTGGCGCAGTGGGTTAAATCCCTGTGCTGGCAGGACTGAAGACCGACAGGTCGCAGGTTCGAATCTGGGGAGAGGCAGATGAGCTTCCTCTATCAGCTCCAGCTCCTCATGCGAGGACATGAGAGAAGCCTCTCACAAGGATGATAAAAACATCAAAAATCATCCGGGTGTCCTCTGGGCAACGTCCTTGCAGACGGCCAATTCTCTCACACCAGAAGCGACTTGCAGTTTCTCAAGTCGCTCCTGACATGACAAAAAAAAAAGGGGGAGAACTGTGTGCCAAGTTTGGTTCAATTCCCCATCGTTGGTGGGGTTCAGAATGCTCTTTGATTGTAGGTGAGCTATAAACTCCAGCAACTACAACTCCCAAATGACAAAATCATTTTTTTCAGTGAAGGACATACATTGGGTTGTTAGGTGTCTTGTGTCCAAATTTGGTGTCAATTCGTCCAGTGGTTTTTGAGTTCTGTTAATCCCACAAACGAACATTACATTACATGGCTGCATTTCAATATTAATAGAAAGTCAATACAGAGTTTATAGCAGGCCTGGGCAAACTTTGGCCCTCCCTCCAGCTGTTAGGAATGGTAGGAGTTGAAGTCCAAAACACCTGGAGGGAGGGCCAAAGTTTGCCCAGGCCTGCTGTAGAGTGCAGCCCCCTCGGCCACCGTCTCTGAGGGATGGACAGGCTGCCGACCCGCCCCCATCTTACCTGGCCAGTTTCGGGGGAAAGGCGGCGGCGGCGACAGAGGCTGCTTTGGCGGCACTCCGCTCTCGATCAGGGCCCGGGCTTTTCTTGCACTTGTCGCCGCCCCCGCAAGGGCGGTATTGCGCGGAGGAGCCTCTGGGGAAAGCGGAGAAGGAGGCACGGAGCGGAACGCGGCGCCCTCCGCCACCCCGGGGCCGCTGCTCCGCCCGGACCCATTCGGGGGGTGGACTGGCTGGCTGGCTGGCTGGCCGACTGACTGGTTCTGCGCGCCGCTTCCGGGTTGGCGCTCCATAGAGAGAAGAAAAAGTGAGAAGGCGCCGCAGACGCAGCACTTCAGGGTTCGCGCGGGAGGCTCTTTGAGAATCTTTTCCTCCTCCGTCCTCCTCATCTATCCTTTCTCTCTGGAGAAGAGATGGAGGGCTCGTTTGGAAGCTCTAAATGGTTCCCATTTGCATCAGAAGTTGAAGGGAGAGGCAGTCACACCTGTTTCCCAAACTCAAGAATCAACCAAGGCTAGCTAATCACCTCCCAACAAAGGATTCCCCCAGGCAGCAATTAGCCAAGCTTTGAAGCTGCAAGGTCATTAAATGCTAATCAAGGTGGCCACTTGCAACATTCACACTTGCTCCAAGCAGACAAGAGTTCTTTCTCCCACCCTGGACATTATTCCACAGACATATAAAGCAAGAAGATCCAACCAGTCCATACTTCAGGAAATAAAGCCCGACTGCTCATTGGAGGGAAGGATATAAGAGACAAAGATGAAGTATTTTGGTCAGATAAATTATTTATTTATTTATTGTCGCGTCAGGAGCAACTGCTTCTGATGTGAGAGAATTGGCCGTCTGCCCAGTGGACGCCTGGATGATTTTTGATGTTTTATCATCCTTGTGGGAGGCTTCTCTCATGTCCCCGCATAAGGAGCTGGAACTAATAGAGGGAGCTCATCCGCCTCTCCCCAGATTCGAACCTGTGACCTGTTGGTCTTCAGTCCTGTTGGCACAGTGCTTTAACCCACTGCGCCACCGGGGGCTCCTGGCCACATAATGAGAAGGCAGGAAAGCTTCGATAAGACAATTATACTGGGGAAAATGGAAGGAAAAGGGAAGAGGGGCCGACCAAAGGCAAGATGGATGGATTGCATCCTTGAAGTGACTGGATTGACCTTGAAGGAGCTGGGGGTGGTGACGGCCGACAGGGAGCGCTGGCGTGGGCAGGTCCATGAGGTCACGAAGAGTCGGAAGCAACTGAACGAATACACAACAACAACATATAAAGCTCAATTGCCTAGTTTCCAACAGATCCCTCAACCTCTGAGGATTTGGACTTCGACTCCCAGGCTCACCCGTCACCACTGTTAGTGGGCACGAATCCTGGGAGTCCAAACCCAAAATAGCTGGAAGAACAACATTTGGGAAAGGCTGGCCTGTAAGGGTTTATGTCCAGGCATGGGTAAATTTGGGCCTCCAGGTGTTTTGGGCTTCAGCTCCCGCAATTCCTAACAGCCTACCGCTTGGGGAATTCCTGACAAGAAACCATCAGGGACAGCTAACACCTCCCAACAAAGGATGCCCCCGGGCAGCAACCAGCCAAGCTGCAAAGCTATTCAATGCTAATCAAGGTGGCCATTTGCAACATCCACACCTGCCTCAAGCAGACAAGAGTCCTTTCTCCCACCCTGGACATTCCACAGATACATATACCTCACTTGCCTAGTTTCCAACAAACCTCACAACCTCTGAAGATGCCTGCCATAGATGTGGGTGAAACATCAGAAGAGAATGCTTCTGGAACATAGCAATACAGCCTGGAAAACGCACAACAACCCAGCTTACTAGCTGTTAGGAATTATGGGAGTTGAAGTCCAAAACACCTGGAAGGCCAAAGTTTGCCCATGCTTAATGTAGATGAATCACCCTCAAACCGCAGCCTTTCAAGGTTCCAGGATTCCTCGCCATTTAATAACCTGGCTAGGGCTTTCTGAGAGTTGAAGTACCCAAAAATCTGTAGGGCCACAGTTTGTGCAAGCCTGATCTAGACTGTAGAATTGCTGCAGTTTGATTTCACTTGAACTGCCATGACTCAGTGCTATGTAATCCTGGACGTTGCAGTTTGGTAAAGGCACCAGAACTCTTTGCAAAGACTGTAGGAGGCTAAAATCTTCAACTGACTTCATGGAAGCCATTGACCACCAATCTGGAAAAAGATTCTTGGACAGAATGAGACAATTATTCCTAATGAACAAATCGATGGCACTGGCCTCTGACATATTATTAAAAAAGAATTGCTGTTCACTCACATCAGGTGCCTTAGAAGTGCTGGTCTATAGGACAAAAGATCCTAATGAGCAATTTTGCCCTGCTCACTGTTTTAGATGTTGCTTATGGTAACTCCATGAATTTCTTAGCACTTAATCAAGTAATACTCAAGTTATGGCTTTGTCATCTACTTCCTCTGAAATATAACCTACAGGACCTGATCTTCATTGGCAAGTTTCTCATCCAAGTACTGATCTGGGCTGACCTTGCTCAAAAGCCAAGAGCGGACAAGATCTAGTGCCTTCAGGATAGCCTTTCCTTAATTATGGAGTGATTGTTAATGATGGGGTGTGATTCATTCTGAACCTGAGGCCCAAAGCCCTTTTATAGCACATAGATGCTATGATTATGCTTGTAATACCTTGCCAAAATTTGGGACATTATGAAGAGAAGGAAGGAATGGTGAAGTGGGGGTGGCGGGGGGGGGGGCAAAATAGTGGCAGTCTCTGGGACTGATTTTAAGATCTTTGGTGGAAATAAGCCATTTTTTCGATAATCTGTCCTCCACATTTGCGTTTTTGGCTTCTGTGGATTTAATAATTCATGAACATAATTTAAATGTTCTCTCTCCAAAAAATCTCTCGGTCCTCCAGTCAGACTTCATGGCACCTTGAGGACACTGTATCCTATCCAGCGCTGGCATGACACATGGTATTTTTGTGGATTTGAATCTAATTTGGTTCTTTTTCATCTCTGAAGACTTACATACTATTTTTTAAAGATTGTCCTTTTGTCCTGCACTTTTTTTTCTTGAAAATCTGGATTTTTAATATCTTGGTTTTACCATAGTTTTGATTTCAAGGGGGAAAGTGGAATAGGTAGATGGAAACCCCCTTATACCCTTTTCAGTAATGGCATGTAATCACCTTTATTTTTTGAAGATGTGCAGATATAGTTGCTATTTTTTACATAAATACCCGTTGCTCTTAGGACACCTCAGTCTATCGGTATTTAGATAACCACAACTTCACTTAATAGGATAGCCAGTGCCCTACGGTATATATCTTTTTACACATGGTATGGGGTAAGTGTGGAGTGGGCAGCATTGTAATGTGCGGCATAGTACACATTTATCATCATAAGATCATCCTTTATCATCAAAGTGATATTTTTATAGGGGAAGTATGTGGCCCTCTCCTTCGTTTTAATAAGGATGTGTGTAGCATTATTGCAGTCACTATAGACCAGTTACTGAAATAACCCCTACTATACTCCTGTGCTATACTAATAATATAATATATTGTATATAGATATAATATTTATAATATTATCATGTAATACAATATAATACTACTAATAATACAATATTATATATATTTTATATTACATGTAATATTGCTAATAATATTACAATATGGTATAGTACAATATAGTATAGTACTGATATTGTGCTATGCTAATAATATGATATATTGTGTGTGTGTGTGTGTGTGTGAGCCATTCTGAGTCCTCGTTGGGGTGAGAAGGGCGGCATATAAATGCCATAAATAAATAAATAAATAAATAAATACACAGGAAGAAGAAAAACAAGAAGAAAACTGGGGCTGGACAGGTGTGCAAGGACTTAGTATTATAGCTGTGTTAACTTTCTATGCAAGTAGTATTTTTGTGACTCACATAGAAGTGATCCCTTGGTTCATAGAAACAAACCTGTTCTTAGAACTCCATCTTGTGGTGGTTCATTCAGTACATCTAATGAAAAATCCAATGTAGCTACTGTGATCATGCAGAAATTATTTTGCAGAGGGAAAATGTGTATGTCGCCTTGAGTGAAGTCACAGTTTTTATTTTGCTTTGTATATATGTGTGTACTCACGTTTATCGGAAAAGGGTGTACTGTGCTGACATTTATCGGGAAAGGATATCTCCAGCTCTACAAATTATCACTTACGATGCAGGCAGTCTTGAAACTTAGCCACAACCAGATGTGGTATTATTGTTTTAATTATGCTTTGATGTTGTTTTAATAGATTTTCGTAATTTTAATTGCATGTTTCAAATTGCTTTTAATGTTGCTAACATTTTAATTCTATTTTGTCAATCTTTTGTATGTTTGAACTGTATTTTAATTTTATGTAACCCCCTTGAATCCCTGTTTTGGGGAAATGGTGTGATAGAAATAGAGATGATAAGAAGGAGCGGGGCGGGGGGAGGAAGAAGAAAGAGAGGGGAATATTCTATTATGCAACCCCCCCCCCCCACCCTTGAATCCCAGTATTGGGGAAAAGGCATGATGGAAATATACATGATGATGATATTATAATAAAGGGGAGGAGGGAGAGGAATAAGAGAATTGGAAGAGACCACAAGACCATAATGTTGTTCTGACTCCCTGACATTTAGGATTACACAATCAAAACACTTCCAGCGACCTTCCAGCCTCTGCATTAAAACCTTCAGAGATGAAGACTCCACCACACTCTGAGGCATCATATTCAACTGCCATCAGGAAGTTTTTCCTCATGGAATCTGTTTTCTGTAGTTTGAATCTTTAACTCCATGTCTTAGTCTCTGGAGGAGCAGAAAACAATATTTAAGCATGACTGTCATAGCTCTTTTGACATTTATTTATTTATTTATTTACTTTATTTCTATACCGCTTTTCTCAGCCCTTAGGCGACTCAAAGCGGTTTACATAATACAGATTATCACAAGACAGTATCAAAGCAAATWAAACACKTTATACATTCTACATAACAATCAATATKAAAAAACAATCATTATCCTAATCATAGCGCCTCAACAACAAATCAGAATCCTTCTCGTAATCCTTGTTCCATATTCCTATGTTCGATTGCACCGTGTTCCTATATTCCATTGCACTGATTAGCCAAACYCTTGTTCGAAGAGCCAGGTCTTCACCTTCCTCTGGAACGCCAACAGCGAGGGGGCCTGTCTGATGTCTGCAGGTAGGGCATTCRACAGCCGAGGGGCC